TCCAATGAGACAATGTGTCTTCACCATCTACCTCCCTCTGGACTTCTTAGCAAACTAAGAACCAGAGAAGTGAAGTAGCTGCTTGGAATCCTGTAATTTATAACTACAGATTAGGGACCCAGTAGGAGGTCAGTTTACAGGACTCCAAAGGCTCTTCATCACTTTAGCAGACCACCTTCTCTTGTGGAAACTTCTGATCATTCATTCTTTGGGAGGCAAATTTTTAGGTCCAGAGAGTGTTCAGGGTCACTATTTTTAAGGTGACTTGACAAACACAACACATGCCCTTACAGGTTATTTTATTGCCTGGAATAAAAGTAGAGCATCTTCTGAATTGAGCAGAAGGGGAAGGCTTGGGAATGTGGCCACTGCTTCCCTCTAAGGCTACCAGGGTCCCTCTGTCTTACTGCATCTGATTAAAAAGTTTGCTGGTGGGGGGTGGGCCACCACATGGCATGTTCTTTTCACTTACCTCTTCAGAATAAGCTTCTACTTGGAAACCCCTTCAGTACTCAAGGAAACACAAATTCCCTAAAAATACATAGTTAATCATCCTTGAGCTATCCAATCCTCAGGACTCCTGCATGTGAAGTTCTGGCTATTTTATTGGAATACTAATAGCAAACATTAGTTTTTTAACACTTAGTATGTTTTAAGTACAGGTCTAAATATTTGTTTTTGTTTCCTGTGGCTGCTGCAACAAATTACCATCAACTATCTCACCTAAAATGGCACAAGTTTATTTGCTTACAATTTGAGAGGCCAGAAACCTGAGGTCAGTATCATTGGGCTGAAATTAGGATGTCAACAGGCCCGGGTTACCTCTGGAGACTATAGAGGAGAATCTGTTCCTTGCTTCATCCACCTTTTGGTGTCTGTTGGCATTCCTTGGCTTTTTGTCAGATCACTTCAATCCCTGCCTACATCAACATATCACCTTCCTCTATGTCTGTATGTGATGAAATTTCCCTCTGCCTTCTTCTTATATGGATACATGTAATTGCATTTAGGGCACATCTGGATAATTTCCCCATCTTAAGGTCTTTAACTTAATCCCATCTGCAAAGACCCTTTTGACCATGGAAGGTGACATGAAAGGTTCCAGGGATTAGGACCAGATAATGGAGGCATGACTCAGCCTACTGCAATATTTTAGACATAGAACTCACTTAATCATATAGCCATTGAGGTAGGTATTGTGATTATCCCCATTTATTGATGAGAGTGAGGCACAGAGAGGTCAGACATTTTATCCAAGATCAAACAGTCATTAAGTGGCAGTGTCTGGATTTGAACCCAGGTTTGGGAACTGAGAAATTAGCTGCCACTGCAATTAAATTAAAAACTAATTCCCATGGGAGATTTCCCTAGGCTGAGTGTGCCAAGATTGGAGTCAAATGTAAAGAAGTTTCTGCTTTAAAGGCAGTCCTCCTAGCTTATGGAATTTCCCCTACATTCTCCTCTTTGGCAGGACTCCTTGTTCCATTGTGTACTTTGTCATCTCATACATACACAATCACTCTAAGTGTAGGGCTTTTAGAGTAATGTGAGAAAAGTGTGCTGGATAAACCGTAGGCAGCTGAGGTATTTGCTAAATGCATGGACTTTTAGCCAATTCATCAAAGGCACACCATGTTGGAGTTGGCAATAAGCAGTAAGCAAGCTAGATACTCCTCATCATTTTTAATTTTTTAAGAAAGGCTTTATTTATTTGAGAGAGAGATAGTGAGGAGAGCAGGAGCAGGGCTAGGGATAGAGAGAAAGAGACAGAGGGAGAAGTAGATTCCCCCCTCCCCTGAGCAGGGAGCCTGACAACATGGGGCTCAATCTCAGGACCACAGCATCATGACCTGAGCCACAGGCAGATGCCTAACAGATTGAGACACTCAGGTGCTCCTCAAAATTTTTAATTTTTAAGATAGATCCTTCTAGAACAGCTTACCAGACTCCTATACTCCCCAAATCCCAGCTTAGTTAAAGATTCTTCCATAACCCCTCTATTTCAGGACAAGACTTTCTAGACTAGAAATCCCTTGGTGTCAAATTTCTGCAACCCCAGGAAACAATTCTGTAAACTTTGGGCTACAGAGCACTAAAGGCTCTGCCCTTTGAAATCTTAAACCTCCCACAGCAAATATCATTCTCAATGGGGAAGCACTGGGAGCCTTTCCCCTAAGATCAGGAACAAGACAGGGATGTCCACTCTCACCACTGCTATTCAGTATAGTACTGGAAGTCCTAGCCTCAGCAATCAGACAACAAAAAGACATTAAAGGCATTCAAATTGGCAAAGAAGAAGTCAAACTCTCCCTCTTCACCGATGACATGATACTCTACATAGAAAACCCAAAAGACTCCACCTCAAGATTGCTAGATCTCATACAGCAATTCGGCAGTGTGGCATGATACAAAATCAATGCCCAGAAATCAGTGGCATTTCTAAACACTAACCATGAGACTGAAGAAAGAGAAATTAAGGAGTCAATCCCATTTACAATTGCACCCAAAAGCATAAGATACCTAGAAATAAACCTAACCAAAGAGGTAAAGGATCTATAACCTAAAAACTATAGAACACTTCTGAAAGAAATTGAGGAAGACACAAAGAGATGGAAAATTATTCCATGCTCATGGACTGGCAGAATTAATATTGTGAAAATGTCAATGTTACCCAGGGCAATTTACACGTTTAATGCAATCCCTATCAAAATACCATGGACTTTCTTCAGAGAGTTAGAACAAATTATTTTAAGATTTGTGTGGAATCAGAAAAGACCCCGAATAGCCAGGGGAATTTTAAAAAAGAAAACCATAGAAAACGCATCACAATGCCAGATTTCAGGTTGTACTACAAAGCTGTGGTCATCAAGACAGTGTGGTACTGGCACAAAAACAGACACATAGATCAATGGAACAGAACAGAGAACCCAGAAGTGGACCCTCAACTTTATGGTCAACTAATATTCAATAAAGGAGGAAAGACTATCCACTGGAAGAAAGACAGTCTCTTCAATAAATGGTGCTGGGAAAATTGGACATTCACATGCAGAAGAATGAAACTAGACCACTCTCTTTCACCAGACACAAAGATAAACTCAAAATGGATGAAAGATCTAAATGGGAGACAAGATTCCATCAAAATCCTAGAGGAGAACACAGGCAACACCCTTTTTGAACTCGGCCACAGTAACTTCTTGCAAGATACATCCACGAAGGCAAAAGAAACAAAAGCAAAAATGAACTATTGGGACTTCATCAAGATAAGAAGCTTTTGCACAGCAAAGGATACAGTCAACAAAACTCAAAGACAACCTACAGAATGGGAGAAGATATTTGCAAATGACGTATCAGATAAAGGGCTAGTTTCCAAAATCTATAAAGAACTTCTTAAACTCAACACCAAAGAAACAAACAATCCAATCATGAAATGGGCAAAAGACATGAAGAGAAATCTCACAGAGGAAGACATAGACATGGCCAACATGCACATGAGAAAATGCTCTGCATCACTTGCCATCAGGGAAATACAAATCCAAACCACAATGAGATACCACCTCACCCCAGTGAGAATGGGGAAAATTAACAAGGCAGGAAACCACAAATGTTGGGGAGGATGTGGAAAAGGGGGAACCCTCTTACACTGTTGGTGGGAATGTGAACTGGTGCAGCCACTCTGGAAAACTGTGTGGAGGTTCCTCAAAGAGTTAAAAATAGACCTGCCCTATGACCCAGCAATTGCACTGCTGGGGATTTACCCCAAAGATACAGATGCAGTGAAACGCCGGGACACCTGCACCCCGATGTTTATAGCAGCAATGTCCACAGTAGCCAAACTGTGGAAGGAGCCTCGGTGTCCATCGAAAGATGAGTGGATAAAGAAGATGTGGTTTATGTATACAATGGAATATTACTCAGCCATTAGAAACGACAAATACCCACCATTTGCTTCAATGTGGATGGAACTGGAGGGTATTATGCTGAATGAAGGAAGTCAATCGGAGAAGGACAAACTGTATGTTCTCATTCATTTGGGGAATATAAATAATAGTGAAAGGGAATATAAGGGAAGGGAGAAGAAATGTGTGGGAAATATCAGAAAGGGAAACAGAACATGAAAGACTCCTAACTCTGAGAAACGAACTAGGGGTGGTGGAAGGGGAGGAGGGCGGGGGGTGGGGGTGAATGGGTGATGGGCACTGAGGGGGGCACTTGACGGGATGAGCACTGGGTGTTATTCTGTATGTTGGTAAATTGAACACCAATAAAAAATAAATTTATTATTAAAAAAATCTTAAACCTATCCAACTCTGCTTCTTGCTCAGATTGGGCTATTTTAAACAAGTAGCCCATTACTATATGCTTGATTTGGAGTGTCTTTCAGAAAGCTCTGTGTTTATACCCTTTCCCTGGCCTACATTCTTTACTGTACCCTTTTTCCCAGTTCATTTTTTATTTTTCTCCCTCATACACTCAGTTTCACCAAAATGATTTCCATAGTTCTTCATATCACTACACTCTTAGGGTCACGTCATTTATCCTTCCATGTGAATTTCATTCTCCTTCGACCAAACTAGCACAACCAACATGCTCCTCAATTGATAGCCCCAAGCTATACCACCAGTACTAGGACACCACACATATTACTATTTTACAGAATACTGGAAAGACATATCAAAAAAATAATACCACATCACATAATAAAGCTGTTTTAGAAACATTATATTTTAGCAGATGAAATAAGAGAGTCACTCATGCATTTCTGGTGAGCATGTAAATTAATTTAAAATTTTTAATTTTTTTTTTATGTATGATACACACACAGAGAGAGAGAGAGAGGCAGAGACACAGGCAGAGGGAGAAGCAGGCTCCATGCACCGGGAGCCTGACGTGGGATTCGATCCCGGGTCTCCAGGATCGTGCCCTGGGCCAAAGGCAGGCGCTAAACCGCAGCACCACCCAGGGATCCCAATATAAAATTTTTAAAAAGCAAGTTGCCATCGTCTATTAAAAACCTTGAAAAAAAGAGAACCTTGAAAATATTCATCATCTTTGATCTATGAATTTTATTGTGTAAGTCAGTATAGGTTGAGATGCTATAACTGAAAAATTCAAGCATGTAAATTGGTTTAAAGACAATAGAGGTGAATTTCTCACTCACGCAATAGCCCTGAGTGACTTTCTTCAATATAGTGATTCAGAGACCAAGCTCCTCTCTTCTAAGGCATTGCTATCCCCTCTGTCTTTATCCTCTGCAGATCTAAGAGAAGAGAGAGGATAGGGAAGATACGTTCACTTCAAGTTTTAATGCAAAACTGACAGACATCATTTCACCTCATATCCAATGGTGAAAACCCATCAGTCAGCTGCACGAAACACTAAGAACACAGTCTAGCCTACAAGCTCAGAAACAAAAGGAATTGATTTTTGTTGAAGAACAGTCTCTGCCTCATCAAGCTTTCCAAAGAAGCAAGCCTGAATACAATAACAAAAGCCTAGTGTAGTGGGAATATAGCGCCAATACGGGCCATATACGAGTGTCAAGGATGGAGAGGTAGATTCAAGTTTATTTTTTTTTTAAAGATTTATTTATTCATTCAGAGAGAGTGAAGAGAGAGGCAGAGACACAGGCAGAGGGAGAAGCAGGCTCCAGGCAGGGAACCCGATGTGGGACTCTATCCCGGGTCTCCAGGATCACACCCCAGGCTGCAGGCGGCGCTAAACCGCTGGGCCACGGGGCTGCCCTGGATTCAAGTTTAAATGCTTGTTCTGGCCCTCATAAACTGGGGCTCTTGTGGAATTTAAAACTTATTTTATAGCTTGGATTATTCTTTCTCAAGGGGATTTGTTGAAGATTAAATGGGATATTGCATTCAAAGCTCTTGTTCAAGTACTTGTTACACAATAATCATTTAATAAATGGCTACTATTACTATAATTGCTATTTTAAAGTTTTATATACAAACATATCCATGGCGGTTATTCCTGTGGAACCAAAATAATCTAAATGTATCAGTAAGTTAATCATGGTGCATACATTCAATACAACAGACTACAGTTATTTCAAAGTGATGCAAATTCTACAATGTACATACAATACAACACATATATAAAATATAACAATTTTAAAGCAAGAGACATTTTTTTAGGAAAATGAATTTCATTAGGTTAAAATACTCTTAGCTATGTAAAAAATATAAAATGCAGCAACACTTTAACCAATGTTACCTATATTTTTTTGTTTTGTTTTGACTTTTTTTAATTTTTAGTGACTTCTGTTTTTTCTTGTTTTTGCTGTTTCTTATGTTAAAACTTCTTTAAAGTAATAAAATGAGTTAGATGTATTTGAAATCCCTTTTACAATTCCTCCCAATGTGCTTCTTTCCATCCGAGAGAAAATTTTTTCTTGAGTTGGTGTATGTCCTTCCCAATTAATTATTTGACTCTGGCCATGCATGTATGTTTACATAAAAATATATGGTAATTTGGAATTTTAAAAATTATATGAACGGTATCCATCCATTTATTTTTTCATGTAACATTATGTATCTGATATATTTCCACATTTGGTCTGTAGATCTAGTTCATTTAAAGTCCCATAGTCTTTCTTTGAATGAAGATAATACAATCCATTCATTCATTCACCATAGAAGAATAATTTAAATTTCTACTTTTGTGCTATCTCTAAGAAATATTGCAATGAACATTCTTTTATAAGCTCCCTGTGAATGTGTGATAGATTCCCTCGTGCCTACAACCAGAAGTGATATTTATAGGTCAAAGGGTGCAATCATACTAAGGTTTATTAAATATTGCCAAATTGGTTCTTATCTATTTTATATTCTATTATGAATATAATAGGTTCAACTTTCCATGCCTTTTTTCCCCGATTCTTTCAGATTTTTTTTTCCAATATGACAGTATTTAATCATATGTCTTTGTGGCTTCTCCTTTCACTGATTATTTTTGAGGCTACACACTTTTTATATATTTCTTAGGCATTTAGGTTTCAACTTATAACTTTAGTTTCTTTGCTATTTGCAATAATCTTTTACTTATCCATACATTCCCTCTCTGTGTATATATTCTCAAAACAAAATATTTTACAATACAAGTACCTCAAATGTCATTGCCTATTTTTTTGTTTGATACATTGCTTCACAAACTTAAAAATCAAGCTAGTATTTCTTGACTCTGGTGGGAAATTATATTTATTTTCAAGTTGTTTTTATCATGAATAATATATGTGGTTCACTGAAGGGATTTCTGGGGACAAATGTATATTCCACACAGATCAAAGAAAGACAAGCCACTGAACTTGCAGTTCACCTTCCCTGCAGCTAAAGACAACAGAGTCTAAACATGCTGCCAACTGTCAAGGATTTTCATACTGCTCGTCCAGGCTTAACTATCTGCTAATTTAGATAATGGCTACAACCCATCAGCTAATAGTATTTACAACAAAAACATATGGCCAGTACTTAGAAGGCCAGTCATTAGCTAATGTGAATCATTTCCAGATCATCTAGAGATAATTTATATTGTCAGTATGAATTGTATTTGAGTAGTATGGCATTGACCAGAGTTGATCCTAAGAATAGACATTGGTGGCTACTTTTGTGTTATCTCCTGAGGGACTCAGAAAAAGACTTACTGTCCATCACAATTTAAGGAATACAGACTGAAAAAAGGACTAAAGCTGAAGGAAGTAGGGGAGAGATGAGAGAAAAAGAAAGAAAGAATCAGAAAGGAGTAGCAGGACAGATACTGAGCAAGCTAAAGTCTACATTAGACAGAAGAGGTGCTTTATTATTATGTACTAAAAATTGTCCCTCATAATGATGGTTTAACCCAAGAAAATTTTTTTCTTGCTTACGTTCATGTTCACTGTGGGTCAGAGAGGGCTCTGCCTAATAGTCCTCAAGAGATAGAATCTTCTGTGATCATCAGACTTTCCTCTCAAAATTGATATATGCTGTTTCTAATTACACTTGATTGTCCACAGTAGATCCCATGGCCACCTATAACTTCAACAGGAACTGAAATATCTTCCATGCTAGCCTGGAAGTAAAGGAACAGGAAACATTTGGTAAACAGCATAGTGACTACCACAGACCACCATTCTGGTTATCAAATGTTGGCTCAATTGGTTCAGTCTCTAGTCCCCAAAAGAGAACACATCTACCCCTACTCCAAGAAAAACTACCCCCAAACCCCACTCATTCATGGTATTACCAAACCCCAATTTTGGCTGCTTGTTACTCAAAAGGCCAATACTCAAGAAAAAGTTTTGATTGGAAAGCAATGTGAGCTTTATTCAGAAGGCTCACAACCTGGAGAGAAGGTGGACTCTTGTCCCCAACCAACGTGGAGGTTTCTGCCTGGTCCAGGGGTTTTTGAAAAGAGTTTATGGCAGTTAATCAGTAAAAGGAGTGCAGTGGTCTGCAACATTTCTTGATTATGTGCAGATTCATTGGTGCCAGCTACAAATCTTATCTCAGTGCCCAGGGGGTTGTTGTGCAAGCAGGTCCAGTTCTTGTTTCATGATGTGCAGGAGTCCTCTGTTCTTTCTGCAAGGGACAGCAAGGTCTACAGATACACAAAGAGGGTTAGTGAAACCATTTGCATGACCTGAACAAAGAAAAACATTTTGCTAAAAAAAAAAAAAAATTGCTAGGCTAATCAAAAAGCTGAGGTGGCTTCCAACAGACATGCTGGCCTCTGTGGCCTGGGAACGTTTTGGTTCTTCACTCTTTGAGGCTAGTGGCCTGTCTGCTACAGATCAAGGGACTTAGGTCAGCAAGTAAGAGTGTGTTACTCGAAGCAAGTTAACCTTTTAGACCTGTTAGAGTGCCGTTATGGTGGTATTAAGCTCCACATCTTGGAAGGGGAGCCTTTGTACACTGTTGGTGGGAATGCAAGCTGGTGGAGCTACTCTAAAGACAGTATGGAGGGTCCTCAAAAAGTTAAAAAGAGGACTATCTTATCCAGCAATTGTATTACTAGGGATTCATTCAAAAGATACAAACATAGGGATTCAAAGGGGCACCTGTACCCCAATATTTACATCAGCAATGTCCACAAGAGCCAAACTATGGAAAGAGCCCAGCTGTCCATTGACAGATGAATGGATAAAGATGTGATGTATATATATATAAAATCAAATATTACTCATCAAAGAGAATGAAATCTTGCCATTTGCAATGACTTGGATGGAACTAGAGGCTATTATGCTAGGCAAAATAAGTCAATCAGAGAAAGATAAATACCATATGATTTCACTCATTTGTGGAATTTAAGAAACAAAACAGAGGATCTTAGGGGAAGGGAGGGAAAAATAAAACAATACAAAATAAGAGAGGGAGACAAACCATAAAAGATTCTTAACTCTGGGAAACAAACTGAGGGTTGCTGGAGGGAAGGGGGAGGAGATGGGGTAGCTGGATGATGGGTACTAAGGAGGGCATGTGATGTCATGAACACTGGGTGTTATATGCAGCTGATAAATCACTAATCCTACCTCTGAAACTAGTAACACACTATAGGTTAATTAAATTGAATTGAAAATTTTCAAAAAAGATCAACATCTTGGACCTCTGCATTATATTCTTCTGTACCTACATCAAGTTTGGATGCAGCTACTCTCAAAATGGAAAACTATCAATGAAAAAGACAAATAAACACCTTCCAACACACAGACACGCATACATGCCTCCTACGTGGGCATAACACAAATAGGGGATCATGCTAAGGCTGGAAGCAAAGTCCAGTTCAAATAATGAAGAACTGCTGCAAACTGCTAGTTTAGGGTGGTTTCTGTGAGTCTTACCAACGAACAGGATCAGGAGGCTGTCTGGCATTTCTTTCATTCAAAGCTGGGTTTAGGGTGATATCTGGAAAAGACAGACACAAGGAGCTCCCCCTTCTCAGTACTTTGCCGAATTAATACGATAAAATAAAACTTTGTGTGTCATGTACAAAGATAGGGAGGCACCAGGATAGGACAGAGTTTACTTTTACCTCAGGCTTGTCTGTCAGTTTCTAGAAGTGCAAAATCAAATCCCCTGTTGGGGTAGCTAAATTTAAACTCCAGGACTCCATGAGCAAATGCATTTCTCTTCTATTTCCGCATCACTTTCTTCCTGCCTGTGGAGTCTGCAGCCCCCGAGCTCATTTAGACTGGAGTCTAATATCCGTGCTTCTGGCATCTGGTCTGTTTGGTCTCAACTGAGTCCTTCCCTTCAGAAGATAGATCTATAAAAAGAAAAAAAGATATTTTTAATAAGGATGGAAAACTTTCATATTACAGATGTTTTCAGTAACTGACAGGACAATTGGTTGAAAAATAAATTTGAAATGAGAATGTATTGGGGTATTTTTGGGGGGTGGCCTCAGGGGGAGTTTTCTATATGTAGAAGATACTTCAAGAGGGATAATGTCCTGAGATAATAACCTGGGGAGAAGTACAGAATGCCAAACCAAAGCGAAGAAGCAATTGAAGAAAAAAACTAAGCCTGGGGAACTTGCAAACAGAAGTCAGTAGAGGAGGCTCAGCCTTTGTGTCAAAACATGACCTGAGCACTAGCAGCATGGGTGTCCTGTGGGAGACTGCTGGAAAAGCATAATCTTGAATCATGAACCTTACAGTATCAGAGGGTGCATCTTAACTATATCATTTGGTGATTCCTATCTGCGTTAATGTTGGCACGCATCAAGATTTTAATTATTAAAAGTTATTTTAAAATAGTAAGGGAGAATTGCTCATATATTCTTGCATTCAGAAAGCAGAACCAAACACAATTACCAAACCTAGCACAACCTAACTAATTGGTTATTGGTAACTATTTATTATTAAAATCATGCCACGGGGTACCTGGCTGGCTCAGTTGGAAGAGCAGGCAACTTTTGATCTCCGGGCCGTTGAGTTTGAACCTCATATTGGGTGCAGAGATTATTTAAATGAATAAATAAAAACTTAAAAATAAAATGAAATCACCTCTTTTGTAGTGAAAACATTTATTTTGCTATGTAGGCTGTTATTGCTAAGATAAAGTTTATGTGGAAGACAAATCAATAAATAGAAAATTTGAAAGAATAACTTAAAGTAGACAGGTGCCTTATCATTTACATATTTCTGTATGTGTGCACATGCAGAAGCCATGTATACAAACATATAAAATGTAATATAAATTAAAAGTGTAAACTTTGTCATGTAAGTATCTTTATATAACAAAGGATACATAGATATAGAGAAGTTAAAATCCATACCATTCAACCTGTTATTTGATTCTTGGCTGAAACTCTCATGAAATACTACTATAGTTAATCTTAATTAACGTTTTAAAACATCAAAGTTATTAGATACGATGTAATATATTCAGGAAAACTAGATTCTATCCATACTCTGCCACTTAAAAGTTTCCAACATTGGATATATTTAACTTCTCAATGTTCATGCATTTCTGGAATTTTTAATAAGTCAAATGTCCGCCTCACAGTTAAAAATATTTTTCCTATATTATAACTATAATTTTTAGTGTTCATGTTATTTTATTACTATGGACTTTTCTACTTGCTAAATAAGATGCACTAAATTGAATTTAAACATTACGTCTTTAACTCAGAAATTTTAATTTCACTAAAGGCTACCACAAAGTCTTAAATATGAAAGCTTTTCTAATACTTGATTCATATTAATCTATTCAATTTTATAACAGAAACCATAAAATATATTAAGTAATGAAGACTAATTTATTGGGTATTTTCCATGTGTCATGCACTTATGCCATATTTGTTTCTGCCAATAAAACTTTGTTCTCTTTAAAATATTGACATAAGTTAGTTCCAACTTTTATTATATATAAATAATACTCTATATCCATACTTTAAAAATAAGGAATGTAGGAAATCAAACATTTATGTTTCAATAAAATAATCCAAAATTACATGTACACCATGATTATAATATAAAAATATTCAAGCATATAGACAGTGATATGCAAAAATAAGTTTATCCTCTAATATAGGGTTATAGATATTTGCTATTCTAGCCATTTACATAACATTACATATTATTTTCAATAAAAACTGAGTGCTCTGTGTATGTATGTTTCTCATTTGTGGCTTAAATTTTTATCTTCTTAATCGACTTAGAGAAACATAGGTCTTTTTTTTTAAATTTTTATTTATATTATGATAGTCACAGAGAGAGAGAGAGAGAGGCAGAGACATAGGCAGAGGGAGAAGCAGGCTCCATGCACCGGGAGCCCGATGTGGGATTCGATCCCGGGTCTCCAGGATCGCGCCCTGGGCCAAAGGCAGGCGCCAAACCACTGCGCCACCCAGGGATCCCGAGAAACATAGGTCTTAATTTCATTGAATTAGAGGCATTAGTCTTCATACTTCATGTTTGGTTCTGCTTAGATTTTTACATATCATGAGTTCATATTCTCTTATCTTCTAAAAACAACATGGTTTTACTTTTACATTTACATTTGCAATTGATTTGTAATCGATTTTTGTTTGTGGCAGGGTGGTATAAGAAGTTTCATTACTTTTCCACATGGAGATCCAATTTTCACAACATGATATTTTGACAACCTTGTCATTTCCCCACCACTTTACAGGGCTACTTTTCTCAAGGCAAATGTTTATATGCACACTGGCCTATTTCTGGGTTTCCTGTTCTCTTCCCTGTTTTATTTCTCTCTTTATGATATCATTATAATATCTTAATTATTTTAGCTGTATAATAAGTCTATTTTTTATTTTATTATTTTTTTAAGATTTTATTTATTCTTGAGAGACACCCAGAGAGAGGCAGAGACATAGGCAGAGGGAGAAGCAGGCTCCCTGCAGGGATCCCGATGTGGGTCCCGATCCCAGAACCCCGGGATCATGACCGGAGCCAAGGGCAGGCACTCAATCACTGAGCCACCCAGGTGCCCCAGTATAATAAATCTTTAATTACAGATTTTATTTACTTAAGAGTTAGAAGAATATTCAGATTTATGACCTCCTTTTTTATCAGTTTTATTAAGTTGTATTTTTCTAGAAGGCCTAACACACATTTCACTTAAGTCCCACAAGGAACAAAGAGAAACAAAGAATGAGACAGAAGGCATCTTTGAAGTGATAAAAACTAAAAATTTCCTGAAACTGATTAAAGACTTCAACTCATAGATTCCAGCAGACTAATAGAGATCAAGAGCAAATTTAAGTGAGAGGCACATATGTGAGAAAATGGTAAAAGATGTCACAAAGGTAGAAAAAGGATTAACAAGGAAGCAAATTGTATGAAAAGGAAATAGAAATATTATAGGTTTTAACTCACACTGTGGATATTAGTCACAAATTCAAATTCAAATGCCAGTTTACACTGCATGGAAAAATATTAAGTGCTGTTATAAGTGGACTATTTCAGAACTTCTTAGATGCCTTCACACTATTGTACATTCTCTGCAGGAGCAAACTCATTCCCAGTCTACTCTGACTCCTACAATGTCATCTTCTGAGCCCTAAAGCTCATAGGTTTAGAAGAGTTTCTGCCATTGGTGGCTTCTGGAATGCTTTTGTCTCATATTCCCCAAATTTGTTCAATAGTGGGGATGAGCTTCCCTGCCACCACTTGGGTTAACAGAAGACCCCTGGGCCAAAGCAGCCTCAAAGGGATTGTGCAGTTCTCTGCATTTCTGTCAAGACTCAATTATCTGAATTTCTGTCTTCTCATCCAGTGGCATTTTCTACCTTGTTAGGATCCCGATCACTTCAAGCGAGTTGTTTTGCAATGTATTTGATGCAGGTTTTCCCCCTTCTCAGTGGGAAAAGTGTTCTTAATTACCTAGTTTGCCACTATTGGTAAAGATAATTCCAATCTTATTATGATTTTTTATACTCATTTCAGCTTTCTAATGTAGTTCAAACGTCTCTTCATTGTTTAATTTTATTTTCCTATTAGAGAGAGAGAGAGAACGAGTGAGAAAGCACAAACATGGAGAGGGAGAAGCAGACTCCCTGCTTAGCAGGAAGCCCTGTGTGGGGTTGGATCCCAGGACACTGAGATCATAACCTGAGCAGAAGCCAGATGCTTGACTGACTGATCCACCCAGGCATTATTCTTCATTTCTTTTTGTTTGTTTTTGTTGTTGTTTATTTTGGGTGACTGTCATTATTCCTTTTTACTGTTTCTGCAGGTAAGTCAGCTTTTTTTTTAAAGATTTTATTTATTTGAGAGAAAGAAGGAGATAATGAGCAGTAGAGCACAAGCGGGGGGGGGGGGGGGGGCGGCAGAAGGAGAGGGAGAAGCAGACTCCCCCCTGAGCAGGGAGTCAGACATGGGCTTCATCTGAGGACCCTGAGATCATGACCTGAGCCAAAGGTAGACACTTAACTGACTGAGCCACCCAGGTACCCCAGGGCTCTTCATTTTTTTAACCTTTTGAAAAATTAGAGTTTTAATATAAACAGCATAAAATCTCATTAAAAGGGAATCTCTGAATTTAATCATAAATATTATATTTCATATTTATAGGTCAAGGGTTTAACAGATTTACTGAATGCTTTGCACTAGTACCCAATTCCATCAAGATTCAAATGGGCTTAAGTTTAATGCAAGCATATTTAACATCAACTTTCTTCAGTTTAGCTAATTCTGAGGAAAAACACAGTAACAATATATATAATATTAGAGATATTATAGCGGTTTGGCGCCTGCCTTTGGTCCAGGGCATGATCCTGGAGTCCCAGGATCGAGTCCTGCATCAGTCTCCTGGCATGGAGCCTGCTTCTCCCTCTGCCTGTGTCTTTGCCTCTCTCTCTCTCTCTCTCTCTCTCTCTCTCTCTCATGAATAAATAAATAAAATCTTAAAAAATATTAGAGATAGGGAGCAAGTGGTCTTATAAGTGTTTATAATCTAGAAGACACTAGAAAGACAGGGGCACCAGGAACTAAAAAGAAGGACAGAAATAAAGGGCAATGAATATGTGCAGAAGACAAATTCCATTTTTTCTAGGATCTACTATGGCTCTGGATCCTATACTAGGATCTCTCTGGAGTTGCTTTAGAAGAACTGGTAGTTCATCTACTATGCCAATAATGTAGAATTGGGGGTTCATGTGAGTATTTCTTCTATCTCATTTTCATAGCTTTATGCTTGCTTATCCTTGATAATGAAAACAATGCCAGATGGTATGACCAGTTAACAGGCTCTAAGAGACAGCTACCAGAACCTAAATGCGAGTCAGTCTTAAATAAC